GATGAAGTTGACAATGAATAAAAAGAAGAAGATAAACACATGAGACCATTTCTTAATAAGGCAAGATGTAGGGAAGATACACAAGCCCAGACTGGCTCAGAAACCTCAAACAAGCCTTTCCAGGGCTGTTCCAAAGAAGAAAAGGTGCATCTTTGTCAAGAAGTGGGAAAGGCCTTGACCTCCCCAGATAACTGCAGGCTATCCCTAGTCAAGCAAGCTCAGGACTCTGACTTTGCTCCTGGCAAGGAGCCCAGGGCTGACATCCCATCATCCTTATAATTGGACAGAGGCACGGCCTAAATTTGTTATTTCCCCCATGTGAAACATGGCCACACTTCCGGTGGAAATCAGTGTCTTCATAACCAGGCCCTTGATGTGCATTTCCCTCTCTTTTTCTTTTCCTCTCACTTAAAAATAAAAATAAACCAGATGCATGCTGAAGCTGCTGAGCACCAAATGCCCATGCAGACTGTTGTCTAATATGGTAGAAGAGGATGGATTTATAAAAATAGAAGGAAAAAAAGCCCTCCATATCTTCCCTCAATACATCTGGGCCATGTGAATGTAACCTGTCTATAACTTATTTTCTTAGAGAAGAGAATTCCAGTGACTTGCCCAAGGTGCAGTTGGTGTTAGAGGTGACTAAGAACCAATGCTGACTCATGAATGTCTTAGACACTACTCATAATCAATGAAATGATGTATGCAACATGGACTCTGCAAACCTTAAAAGGTCTAGACAGTCAACAAGTATTGATGAAGCACATATTATGTGCTGGGCACTGTATGGGTGCTGGGGATAAAAGTGAAAAGAATGCAAACCAAAAGCCATCCTTACTGGCAAAGAGCCTATATAATGAAGGAGGAGACAGCCCCCCCCCATATATATAAATATATATATAATGTGTGTGTGTGTGTGTGTATAGACATATATAGACAATCCTATATGTGTCTATACGTGTGTATGTATGTATATATACACATACATATATAAGAAATCAGTCAGTAAGCTTTTATTGTGTCGACTATGTTCTAGGAAATGTGAATAAACACAAATAGTTCAATACTAGGTAGTTGGGAAAGGAGGGTGCTTGTGGTTAGAGAGATCAGGGAAGACTTCCTGCAGAAAATGCTTGAGATTCTCCTACAGGAAGACAAGGCCCTTTGAGGTAGAGGTAAGGAGGGGGCTGCATTCCAGACATGCAGAACAGTCATTGCAAAAGCTGAAAGTTGGGAGGTGGAGTGTCATGTTTCTTACAGGGACAGAAAGGAGGTCAGTTTGGCTGGATCACAGGGTGGAGGTAGAAGAACAATTTCCAGAGGCATTGTAAAGGTAGGTTGAGGACAGTCTGTGTGGGCCTATCATTATTTTAGCAACAGTAGTAGAGGGAATGAAGAGTAACCTACTGATAAACAAAGTCACATAAAAGCTGTCTCCAATGTGGGTCTTCAAGTGGAAACTCAGAAGATCATGATGGCAGAGGAGATGATGATATTTACCGGATGGAAGGACTGGTTCTTCTGGGATAGATGTGTGTGTGTGGCCGCACCTTGTGTGTAGACCTTCCAGTGCATGGGAAGCCCTCCACAAAAAAAGTGCACAGAGGCATGAACAAAATGAGGGTCCGGTCTCACAAGCGGAGGCAAAGGCAAGATCCAATATAGGATAGTTGCATTGTTCAAGATGAGTAAAATGGCAAAAACAGAAGGCAGGGAGAAAAAAGAGGCAGCTTATTCTTATTCTGCATCTGTTTTCTCTTTCAGGGTAAATTATCATAGGTCTGGAAAGGTCAGAACACAAAATGGAAAATTGGAAGATGGCACCCAGGCTAAGGAGGGGAATAGAAAAAGAGCAACTAGCTGCTCTCGAGGATTTGAAGTCATAGGGAGTGGATGGGCTCCATCTTCCTGCTTTTAGAATGGAACAGAGGCCAGCACGAGAGAGAGGACAAAGGTGGTGAAGGTCCCACTGTTCCCTTCCCTGGTCTGACCTCATCTCCTGTGTTCAGATCTGTGAGCCTCATTTTAGTGAGGATGTTGATAAACTTGAGAATGTCCAAATGGTAACAGGCAACCAAGATGATGAAGGAACTTGAGATCATGCCCTGTGGAGGTCAACTGAAGAAACTAGGGATGGTCACCCTGGGGATGTTTCAGAATGGGTTTGTTTTCAGACATAGGATGGATTCAATGTCTCTTGGTCCTTGCCAACTCTGAGACTGGGATCCTGAGAAGAGAAGTTCTTAGGGATGGGCAAGACATGATAATTGTCTCTAAGTACCACAATGAGGTGAAATATACATACATGCATACACACATGCACACGTGCACACATACACGTTGGCCTTGTAGACCTTATATCTACATTAAATTAAATTAAAATTAAATGTTAAAAGATTGTGAGAATGATTAGGAATATCAAGGACACATTTGACTGTCTATTCTGCCTGGTAGGAACAAAGGCCCATTACAGTTATCTGCTGATTAGTCATCATACTACAAGGGAGAATAATGATGAAAATAAATTAAATAATTTAAAGATTCAATGATTATTAAATAGTTTATGCTTTGCTTTGGAATTTATTTTTAATTGCATATGAACTTGTTGGTGTATAACATCTTTAGAATTATGGGTCTTTCTGATGTTTACCATCCATTATCTGATCTACTTCCCACATCATTCCTTGTGGCGTGGAAGCCAGTATGACTCCCATTTTACAAAGGAAGACACTGGCGTTCCAATGAATGATTTCTCTTTGGCAAGCTAGCTGCGTGGGCTTATTCCAGTTCAATGTATGTCTCTGTACTCAATCAGGCTATTTCCAAGTCCAACCAAGACCTGACTTTGGACAGGAGAGCTGGGAAATTCTTCCATTTCCCAATTCTGCTTCCCAGTCCAACTCCCCACCACAATACACTGTATGCTGAGAACTAACTGTTCTCTCAGAATTTGCCAAATGTTTCCTGGATCAAAGGACGTCATTAAATGTTTGGGCTCAAAAAGAGGCTCTGAATTCACAGTGAACAGAGAAAGTTGGGATGTCCAAAGTACAGTAGGTTGTCAAAGCCAAATTTGAAAACAAGGCTTGCGAGATAAACAGAAACGTGGATGACCTCTCACTGACTCATAATCACACTCTCCACAATCCCTGGTCCTCTGTCCTCATAGACCCAACACCACTCTACCATCTCCACTCTGCAGATGACTTCACCTCCTGCCTCCATGAGAAGATCAAGGCCTTGGGTCAAGAGTGCCTTTGTTTCCCTTATTCAAATCTCAAAATTTCTCTATGTTTCCACACATCATCTAATAACCAGGCATTCTTAACCTTTTTATTGTTTCATGGATGTCTTTGACAATTTAGTAAAGCTAATGGAACCTCTCGATTGGGTGTTTCCATGGACCCTACACAGGCAGATGCTCAGGTCTTCTGTATAATAAAAAGTAAAATAAAGTTAAATATGAGAAAACAGCTTGACCATGCCATTCTTCAAGCTATTCTTCAACATTTCCCCTACCATTCTCTGCTACAGATCTAGAGAGTGCACCAATGGTATCTACTTCCTCATCACCCATTCACTCTTCCACAGCTGATGATTCTAATACTGCCACCTCTCTCCTTTCATATATTGGAAATTAGGTGTCTGTCCCAGTGTGCATCCATAAACATCTTCACTCTCAAAATGGTATGAAGTGATAAGAAATGATGCATCTGAATAATTCAAAGTACCACACAAAGACTTCGATGAATTGATGCAGGTGGAGAGAGTAGAAGAAACACCAAATGGAGGAGGAGTCAGGGGAAACAACATACAGAATGTCTGTAGCAATCTAAGTGGAAAGTCCAGCTCCTCTTAAAAAAAGAAAAGAAAAGAAAAAAGAAAAGAAAAGAAACTGCATATAATGCAATTCTAATAACCAAGTCCAACCCTAAGTAGAAAAAAAAAATAAGTCCCCTGCCTCGTGCTCTTTCTTATAGAGGGGGGACTAATGGTGTGGAACATTGGATATGCTGTCCGACTTTGGTGATGTGTTCGTTAGTTTTGAGGAGGTGCTTCTCTCTCTCTCTCTCTCTCTCTGTCTCTGTCTCTCTCTGTCTCTGTCTCTGTCTCTCTGTCTCTCTCTCCTCTCCCCTTCCCCACCCCTATTCTTTGTTACAAGGGATGGCTCCCTGGGGAAAGGAGAAAGGAAGAAAGGAGGGATATCTTCTGGAAGGAAAAAGGCAAAGAAACAAAAACACCAATAACCATTTGAATGATTTAAAATTCAGGCTTGTGCTATATGATGCCGGATTTTACATTCATTAACATTAAACACAATTTGAAAATCATTGTACTTTCTGGGAAAGTACACTTCATTGATTCGTTCACTGATTAGCCAAGGACAGTCTGACTTTTTACTTTTTAACTTTGTTAAAGTTTCACAGTCGCTCTCCGGAGATGAATCTTCATTGCCAATAAGATATCTCATTTTCTTACTCAAACAATGCTCCCTGGATAGCACTCAAAGGCTTCCTGTTGGGCACCTCACTGAGAATAAGGAAAATAAGAAATTTCCAATATGATCATTCCAATCATGATCACCTCAGAATTTTGAGTCTGTCAATGTGCTTTTGGCACATTATCACATTAGAGGTTCCCAGCAACCGTGGGAAAAGGGAATATCTATCATCTCCATTTTTACAGAGGAGGTGAAAAAAATACTTAATTAAATACTGACTAAGGGCCAGACAAAATGCTAAGCACTGGAGATAAAATTACAAGCAAGCAAGACATTGAAGTGACTTCTTCATTGTTATTCAGCTGACAAGTATCAAAGGTGGAATTTGAACTCATGGCTTCCTGTTCATGCCAAGCACCCCATCATCTATGTCAATCTGCTTTTTTTATATAAATGATTGGAGAAAAAAAAGTTTGGGGAAGCCAGAGCAGCTTTCCTTTTTATTGGCTTGGTACCCTACACCATTTAAAAGCAAAATGACTTCTAGCATCATCCGCACCTGTCTTTCCGTGAGATCCAAGTTCACTGCAATCTCATATCTCCTCAGCCGGGTCAGGTAGTTATGATGAGCAAATTCTGCCTCGAGCTCTCGGATCTGCTCCTTGGTGAATGCTGTCCTTTCCTTCCTGGGCTTACTATTTACTTCCGACTTGTAATTTCCTTCCTGGGAGTCTGAAAGTCAGAGCAGATTACACACAGTGTCATTACACTATTGAACTAATGAAGGCATCTGCTCACCCACCCTCCTTCTTCCTAGTGGAAAAAAAAAGATTAGGTGCAGGGTCAATGATTGTCTATTATGGACTGTCAATGACTTTTAACCACAAAGACACACACATGTTACACAAACAAACAAACCAGCATAAAAACTGCTGGCAAGATTCACAGAGTGTTCAAATGTACCACATCTCCAAACACGGATGGGAAGGATTGACCTAGAGCCTTACAAACCTTTCTTCCCAGGCAAACAACCTTGTGGCAAAACAGCCCAACTAAAATGGTCAGGCATCACCCACAAAAATTTGATCCCAATTTAGTTCCACAAATATAAAAAATGGAAGACACTGGATGTGAATGTCAGTGTGGCTTCTTCATGGGTTTAGAGGTAAAATCATTTGGGAAGGAAGGTAGAAGGGCGCAGAAAGATGTCTTTTGGATGTGGCAGAATCCTGGGGAATACAGGGTAGAATTTCCGAAATACTCAAAGACTCACAAATGACAAAAACTTAATATTGTTTCTTCTTAGAAAGACTAAAGAAGTTACTTTCTAAACATAATTGCAAAGAGATGAAGGGAAGGACCTTTTTTTCAAGATCTTTTAAACTAAGGCTTAGGGGCAGCTAGGTCATACAGTGGATAGAGCTTTGGCTTAGGAATCAGGAAGACTCATCTCCATGAGTTCAAATCCAGCCTCAAACATTTACTAGCTATGTGATGCTCAGAATTTATAGTCTCAGGCTATTATTGCAGCCCAAAGATTATTGTAGATGGTGACTATAGCCATGAAATTAAAAGACCCAGAGTCAGGAATATCAATTGCAAAGTAGGTGCCTATATTCCTTGAGAGTTGCCCTGGGCACTGAGTGGTTAAGCAATTTGCCTAGAGTTAAATAGACCATAAGCATCAGAAATAAGATTAGAACCTAGGTCTTCTTCCTGACTCTGGGACCAGCTCAGAGAGGCAGTGTTATATCTTAGATAAACCATAGGAGTTAGTCACAGATACTGGCTGTGTTGACACTTGGGAAGTCATTTCACCTTCCTAGGGTGTAATTTCCTCACTTGTGAAATGAAGGGATAAGAAGTGATAACCTTTAAGGTCCATTGTAACACTAAATCTACAACACTATGAACTCCATTCACTGGGCCATAGAATAATTTTTTCATCCTTCTGGCATCCCTGGAGGCAGGGTGGTATGTGAGTATCAGGTCCATATACAAAGGACAATTTTTCAAAGTTCAGAAAGGCCATTATTCAAATAGATAATAATTCATGTCAGAATACATTCCTCCAAAATACCCATATAACAAATTATCCAGATAATTGCCTCATTTCCCCACCTGTGTATACACTTGCACTCAGGTCCAGGATTTAAGAATGAGATGAAATGGTGCTTTTCTCTGATCACATCTGATTACATTTGACAGAAGAATTATGATGTTTTCTTATATGGCACAAAACTGAGAGCTATTTATAAATTCATTTCCTTTTCACCAGGACCAAAGAATTCATTGAGTGGTGGCCAGCCTATTATTTGTGAGCTTCTCCACAGTTGGGCTGTCCTTTGGGCAATGGAGTCAGTCTATTAATGGAACTATACTTGATGGAGATGTGTGATGGGGAGGAATTAACTCCAGAATATTTCCAGAGATGATGACCTATGTTCAGGAAACTATGAGAGGTATCACTGAGAAAATGCAAAAATGGAAAAGGTGAGCTGACCATGTTATATGAGTGAGGGACATCAGATGGAGAGCCCAAGCCTTCCACTGGTACCAAGGAAATTGAAAAGAGCCTCCATGGGTAGCAAGTCACGTAGCACCTTACAGGGAATCCTTTCTGAAGGACCCATGGAAGAATATGGACAAATGTCAGGAAGAAAAGGCATTAATGGGATTTGATCTGCAATCATACAGAGAGTAAGCACCCTCATGGATGGGATCACAGATTCTGGCCTCTAGGTGGTGCAATGGATACAGCCAAGGGCCTGGAATAAGGAAGACCTAAATTCAAATCCTGCCTTAGATGCTTACTAGCTATGTGACCTTCAACAAGTCCCTTACTTACTGTCCGCCTAAGTTTCTGCAGCTATAAAATTGGGAAAATAATAGTACTTAACCCCAAGTGTTGCTGTGAGGATCAAATGAGATAGTTTTTATAAAGCACTTCACACAGTTCCTACAACATAGTAGTTGCTACACAAATGCTATTATTATTGTTTTTATTGTTATCATTACAGCACTGAAGCACAGGACACGTGCAGAGACCCCAACTCAGATCCATTTTATTAGTAAACTTGTTTTTTCCTCATCCCTCCCCCAGAGGTTGCTAGTGCCCTCTTTCCCCAAACTCCCTTGTCCTCCTCATTTATGTCCTTATTTAGTATGCCCATACTGCTCCTGCACTAGAGTGGGCAGGGATTGTTTGATTTTTGTATTTTGCTCCCTGGGGCCCAGTACAATGCCTGGTACAGAGTAGTCACTTGAGTGTTTATTCATCGATGATTGATTTTTTATTGTATCCACAGTGCCAAGCACAATATCTGGTATATTATAAGCCATTAATAAATGTTTGCAGATTGAATGATTGATGAACATTTTTTTCTTCCAAATGACTTAAATCCAAAGATGCTGAAATACTTGTAATACATGTGTAAGAAATCCCCCATATTTTGATTATGCTCTCATATCTCTTGGATGTGCCAATGTACAGCCTGATAGGAGCCATCATGGAATGACCAGGGGCTGCTATCCCACAATAGCACCATCTATAAGGAAAACTGCTGGACTAAGTCATGGTCATGTCAATGACTCCGACTCCTGAGTAGCAGGATCTGAAGCTGACCCCCTGGGGTGCTTTCTGTGGCCAGCAAAAGCAACAGCCAGCTTTCGTCAATAGCCTGGCCCATCAGCCACTCTACCAGACTGCAGAATGGGTTTTCCTGACGGGTACACGGGCTACATCCAGCATTCTTGATGAATCACAAACTGCAGTCCTAGGCTCGTCACTCACACCTATGCTGACAGGCTCCGTGCCTTGGCAAGGTCCAGCCAGCTGCAATGGTCTAGAGAAGTAGTGGCTATGGGTCATGCGCCTGCTGATTGGCATTTTCTACCCCATGAGTGAGACTCATGCCCATTTTGTAAAAGCTGGGATTGGAAGGAGACAGAGGAACCCAATCCGGACAACATCAAGACATCTGGCATGATCCAGATGTTTTTCTGTTATTATTAAATGATGATCAACATTCAGGTATCTCAGAACTTCCAGATGTTCTGACATAATGTAGGCAGAACTCCCCAGTGAGTGGCTGCATTGTTCACTTTTCAGCTGGAAGCTTGGGATCTTGTAGAATCTATCATAGCTCATATTCATGCTCAGAAAATGAACCTCTCACACCAGGCTCCCAGCATGTGTACTCTGATGCCAAACTGGACCAGAGCCCTATCCCCAGCCTCTGGGTCACTTTTCTTTGATGGGGTAAAACCCTTCTCCTTGCGTGTAAAACAAATGTGGACTCAAGTCACAGAGCTAGGCTAATTTTTTTTCATAAGCAATCTGATGTGAATGATTCATAGTTTGCCTATTTCCTTATGTAAGCATGAATGAATGAATTCACATTAGGGGAAGCGTGTTAACTTGTGTTTATTTTCATTTCTTTGAAATTTACATCCTTTAACTCTTTATAATATTCACAACTTCCAGAAAAGTAGCTAAATAGCTGTCTGTGTATGTGTGTATGTGTGTGAGAGTGTGTGTGTGTGTGTGTGTGTGTGTGTATAAATATGGAAAGACACAATGCTATCCATGTCTGTGGCAATTAGGTTTGTGCATGGATCAGATTCAACACCCAATGGTGGAACTATCTCAAATCCCTGACCATCATGCCAAGCTTAAATCCCATATCCACTTCCTGAATTTCCTTCTTAAACATAAGCTGTCTAAAAGCTACTGCCCGGAATATAGTCATTTCTGTGGTGATCATTCAAGTTTAGGGTAATTACTTATGGGAGATTAAGTTGTAAATAATATAACAAAGACTGAACCTGCCCTTACCCTTTCAGCTGTATCAGCAAAGGAGAACAAGATATTGAAAAAAATAGCAGATATACCAGATGTGTCAATTACTAACCCCTAAGAATATTTCCTTTGGTTTTTTAACTTGCTCTCTAGGCTTTTTATCGTAGTTAAAAAAAAAAAAAACTTCCCCCCTTTTCTTTCCCATTAAACACAAGCTCCCTGGAATAGTGTTTTTTGGACTTGTAACATCCATAAACTTGGGTTGTTTTAATTTCCAAAGCCATAAATCTTTTTCTTTCTTTCTTTTTCTTTTTGGAATGTTTCTTTTTAACAGTCTCTAAAGGATAAAGACTGGGAGATCCCATCTCTCTCTGACCTTAAGGCCTTTGTTCATATCACCTGACTAGCTTTTCTTTGGTGGAAAATGGGTGGGAGACTTGGAAGAGGCTTCTGGCAGATTTGAAATCAGTCCATCTGTTTCCCAGCTGTTTCAACTGAGGCAAAAATACCTCAGTTTTCTTCCACTACCCACATCCTATGCCAAATGGTAGGTGTTGAGGGGGGAATTTAGAAACTGCATCCCTTCTTTCTGCCTCTCAGCCTCAAACAAAATATCACCATCTGGCACAATGCATTACAATGCAAAAGGTCACATTTTGATTATTCTCACTGGTAGACCTTCATGTGCACATTTGATAAAGAGCATGTGAATACAAGTGCACACAAGTGTTCTTACACACATATATACAAAGAACTCTCTCTCTCTTTCTCACACACACACACACACACACACACACACACACACATTTGAATCCCTCACTCTTTCTTAAAGAAATGTTGACTTATGGGTTCAGGTACTGGTTGGCTGTCCTTGTTCCATAACCTTTGGCTTGCTGGGACTATGCTAATGGAAGAAGTCTGTGATACTTCC